GGGGTGTATTGCCACACCCATCTCTAAACCTTTTTCCTCGCCTCCTACCTGAATCCATGGGCACAGTGTGAGTATCTCCGGTGGAACACCTTGCCAGTTAAGCTGACACTCTCTGCACCGATGGTGCATCGGGTCCACTCACCACTGTGTAGCCTTTCCCCGGAGAAGACTCCATTATTCCAGGACGTCCACTCCTCGCCGGTTAAGCTGGCGCTCTCTGCCAAAGCATCGGATCCAGGCTAATTAGCATCCCCGGAGAAGCCCCGTGTTTCAGGGGCCACTCCTCGCCGGTAAAGCTGGCAATCCCTGCCCGACGCCTGGAATCGGGTCCGCTAAACCCTACCTATAGCCCTAACACTGTTTCGCATTCACTCAGGCCCGAAAACCTGTGGGGCAAGGAACAAAACCCTGGAATTACTCTGAAGGAAAATTCCACGGAAAAACCCGCCCCAAAACAGCTGGGGTTACATAGGAAATCGAACCCACGACCCCTAGAACTGCATTGTATCAGTTACAAGCACGCTTACTACTGAGCCAACGCCGCTCTTATTAATTTGTTACTTGTAACCAAAATAAACTATGGTTTATATATGTTTAATATGTACATTTGCACATTTTTTCAGGATCTTCATGATTAAAAAAAAAAAAAACTTCCTTACTGTGTAAATACAATAATTGATTTTAGTTGCGTTTTCTTCTTCTAAAATTTTTTCTTTGTGATTGAGAAAAAAATTCAGAGAGGTGGGAGAAGTGCAAATATATGCAGTAACGCTGGAAATTATTTTTCTCATGTGCATGAGCTGACATGCATGCGTTTACGCATACTTGACCCCTACTTTCTTGTGTTATAAAAAAAAAAAAAAAAAATTATAGATCTATATTTAAAAATGAAACAGTTATATCTAGCAGTAATTTTTTATATTAAAAAAAAATTAGGGGGATTTACAGATCTTATAAATGAAATTTTATTCGATTTTTTCGTAAGGTTACATGTTAAATTTGCGAATTTTTTAAATTAAACATGTGAAAAAAAGGGTACAGTTAAACGATCTGCAATTTTTTTTTGGGATTTCTGATAGTATTTTAAGTAAACTTTTGATGCTTTAATGATATCTGTCTAAAAAACTAACGTATCTAATTAAGGATCCAAATCAACTATGTATTAAATTTATATCATTGATTTATGTTTTTTGATTTTTTTTAGGTGTAAAAAGATACCTCAAAAGTGAATTTCAGGTAATCCCTACCCACTTTGGTTATTCTTCTTTAGGGTGTGGGTCCATCACAGATCTAACTCATTGAATCACTATGAATGTAACCAATTGTACACCCATTAATGTGCCGAAGGGACACTGGGTTTGCATCACAGGTTCACTGAAGAAATCAGGTACATATTTTATAATAATTCTAAACTTTAACCATTTTAATTTTTATTTTGTTTTATTTTTAAAAATAACAAAAGTACACCACATTTTATAAATAACTAAAATTTTTCAGTAAAAATATCTATCAGAAGGTCCCATTCTCATCGTATGCAAAGACTCATTCTACATAGAATTTGATACAAGCGTTGATTCTGTGTTATAAGATACTCTTCGTCAAGGAAAATAAACTCCTATAAGACAACATCTGGACGATACTAAATTTTTTTGATTTTTTATTCAACCAATTTTTATCTTTTTACTTTTAAAATTGAATTTATTACAAACCTACGTTAAAAATTTTTTTTTTACATTAATAGTTAAAAAAAATTAATTTTATTAATTGTTCATTATTTTCATCAAGTCACGACATAAGTTGATTTTTTTTAACGATGTTTATAACTTAATTTTTGTTTTCAAAATAATTTTCTTCAACATTATTAATGAAATATTGTATGATTATGCAACTATCATGTAAAATCACAGCGATAGTACAGAGCTTAAATGAGGTCCAAAAAACAAACTAGCGAGAGTAAGACTTTTAATGTTAACTAAAATATAACCCAAACATATGTTGTATGATAAACGGAATGCTCAAAATATCTTTGAAAATGTAAAGTTTTACAGTCATTTATTAGAATTCTAAAATTTCAAAACACATCACACTGTATCGATGATTGTACTCTAGATCAAACTCAATTATGTTAAATTTGGGCTATTAGTACTTTTTATTAGTTTTTTATGAACGAACACTTCTGTATTTTAAATGTACTACATTAATAGTTAAGATTTGTGTATAGTAGAATAGACAAGCGAGATATAATCTTAGAAGCACGTATCTATTTGCTTGCAGAATTCTATATGTGTGGTTTGAGAAATGATCTCATGAAGTACGAAAAACATCCTTTTTAAAAAATGAGGTAAATATATTTATGTTTTCCCCGAGAACCTGTTTGTAACTTTACTACTGTGTGTGTGTGTGTGTGTGTGTGTGTGTGTGTGTGTG